GGTATGATATTAAGTAATCGGTACCAAGTCTGGAGTCTGTAAACTCTGTGAGACTGTAAGAAGGTACAAAGCTGGCTGGAACCAAAATCCTGATGTCAGTGCACCAACATGCTAAGAGTGGCAAAACTATTGATGTTCAACAGTTACAGATGGGTGACAAATTAAAGGAAAAAACAATATCAAGCGTCTTAGTGAGGTGTTGGGCCACCATGTATGTCCAGAACAGCCTCAATGCACCGTGATGTTGATTCTCATTGAGTCTCTGGGACTCTGCTGGAGGGATGAACACCATTCTTCAATAAGATATGCCCTTATTTAAAGATGGTGGTGGAGAGAGATGTCGAACAAGTAGGTTCAAAGTCTCCCAATGGGGCTAAGATCTAGCAACTGTGAAGGCCATAGCACATGATTTGCAGCATTTTTATCAAACCATTCGGTGAACCCTTGTTCCCTTTGGATGGAAACCTTGTAATGCTGTAAGAGACCATTCCCATCAGGACAGTTGAACAACTTAGTATAGACTTGCAGTGATGTTTCCACAACGTCTCACGGTCGGGGTCTAGATTTTCTTTAGTCACCTGTCTGTATGTTTCCCTGCTTACAATCTTGTTTTGGCATGTTAGCAGGCAGACAGACATTTGCAAATTAACGCTAAACACAAGGTGAAGCTGGAATTACATTAAATTCAGTTTTCTACATAAAGCACTAATTTACACTAGAAGTCATCTTAAGGCACTTGACATAGTAACGCTCAGACCTTTTGACATTAGATTGAAAGAAACCCAACAAATCTACCAGCAAGCTCTTGGTAATGGAGATGGGGTGGTTTTGTAGGTATCTGCACAAATTTTAGCCAAGAATAAAACCCATAAAAGTATTTCATTGGCACTGTCATTATGGTTTCAAGAGTTTATGTTTCAGGTAATTAAAACTTAATAGAAGAAAAACATTTTGCCTCTAATTTCATTGTTAGTTAAACAAGATGATTAACAGGATTGATACTTTTGTGATCCACACTTTTGTCGCTGCAGACATGCGAATCGCAGAGGCTGAAGCAGATCTCCAAGAGCGATGAGAGCACCATGTCTTTTGTCTTCTACATGAAGTCTGACAAGTCCAGACAGCGGAAGTTTGAGTCTGTGCTGCACCACGGCTGGTTCATCCACATAGTCACCGAGTCGGACAGCGTGGAAATGGCAACTCTGGACGGACACGTGGCGGCTCATTCGTTCCTCTTCGTTATTCAGAAGTGATGGAGAGTGTTTTTTGTTTATTTGTTTTCAGACATATTCCCAGTTCTCAGGCAAGTTAGTTAGCATTAAAAATTATTCTGTGAATCTTATTTGTGATTTCAATTTTATATAACAAAAAAATAAATAAATAAAAGCATGAGAGGAGCTCTTTTGTTTGAGTCATCTGGTCCAGTGAGAGAAAACCAGTGTGTGAAATTCTGCTATTGCAGAAGTGCGTAAATATGTATCATACAACTATGTATTCAATTCTGTTGTTTAAAGAGGTGTTTAAATATTGTTGTTGTTTTTGTTTTGTTTTACAAGCAATACTGTATGATATGATAATTTGAAATAAAAGGAGATGTAATCTTCATCAAAAAAGATACATACAAAGAGTAGTATGGAAACCAAAGTAATGTAACAATACATTCACTTATATAACACTTTTTTAATGTACATAAATATGAGACATTGTGAGATAAATTAAATAAATAGTCCTAAGAGTCCAATGCACACAAGAAAGTGTACACATGTCCACTGTATACAGTTGATATGTGGAGACAGCCAGACTCACTGGAAGTTAGACTTCAAGCCTCAGATCAAATTGAATGTTAACACATAAAGATGTACTATGCTTATATTTGCATACTGTGAGCTTAAAATGCCTGTTTTTTTACACATGTATATTTTATCTGAGCAATAAAATCACCAGCTTTGGTCAACAGTGTATTTGTGTATTGTCATTAAAAGAGTTAAATCCCCACAAACTGTCAGCATCGGCTTTATTTTGAAAATGCAACATTTCAGTCGTAGAATTGAGGGATGCATTTTCAATAAATGAAGTGCTGACAATGTGCAGCATTTGAAAACATTATTGTCATTTCAAAATGTGCTTTTCTTAAATACATTTCAGGTATACAATGAAAATTTGATCAAATTTGATATTTTAAAAACAAGTATCAAATAGTAATACACAAATACCTGACCCTGAAAGGCTACATGAAACATTAAAAAGTCATAGAGACAAAGATATCAACATTCCAACAATAAGACAAAAGATCACGTTTTGAATTCTAAAAATGTAATAATCTGCAAATCACAAAACACAATTTGAAAGAAAAATTTGAAATAACCTTTACTGAAAATAAAGCTTGAAACTAATGCAGTTTTTTGGTGTTATTCAAATGTTCTACGTATGTAAAAATATATTTTGATTGTATTTAAATGTGTGCTATAAACCCTAAAATTACGAACTTTTTAAACAAGTATTTGCAGTTTAATGAATGTATATTATACACTGTATTTATTATGTGTGGTAAAGACATTACTTCATTTAGGTATTTGCAAAGTACAAGGAAAGAATATATTATTATTACAAAAAGTATACTTAAATACATTCAATTGCACTTAATGGTGTCTCAGAAAAGCTTAGTAAAGTAAATTTTCTTATTGTACTACTAAGTGTAATGTTAGTGTGTCAAAATATCAGACTTTACGTAAATTCACATGGAAGTACATTTAGTATACAGCAATTAAACAGACTTTTTGTTGACAGGGATACATACTATACAATAGCTGTGAGGCTCAAAATGGAAACTCAACTAAAACTCTGATGCATATTCACATCTAACCATGATGTCAATATTGATGAGAAGCCAAGCAGCACTGGTGGGAAAACAAAACGCAATTATAAAGCTTTACTATACAATTCTTGGACAGCGACTATGACACTACGATATGCAGACGATAGTCCTCTTGTTTCTCAGCCACAGTGGGGAACTCAGAATCCAGTTTGTTCGTTGTCATTGTCCTCATAGGCTTTGTTACTGTGTCCATCAGTGTCTTCACTATAGGGATTCTCTGCAGCTACCTCTTTCGGTTTCCTACAAAAACAAGAAACACAACATGTCTCATTGTTATGCAAAGGATTGGTCAAAGATTCCAGAAATGACTCTTGGTCTTGGGAACAAACTCACCGCTTGCGCTCTCTGATACCAGAGACAACGAGGTAGACGCCCAACAGTACCACGAGGCCCATGACGATACCAAACACCACCAACCAAACCTCCACCGGTTGCTCCACTGGAGGAGCCAGTGTTGGCAGGATCCCTTCAAACTCCAGCGTCTTGTCGTCTAACTTAAAGGCCTCGTTGATTCGACCTCGAGATAACCTGTGATGGACATAGAAAGGAGTTCATTGCTGCTCACACCTATTCAGGAAAAGTTTACACAAAGTTGATTATGTCACATATTGCAGAAGGAAATTTAATTAAGATCCTAAAGTCATGATGATAGCTGATTATAATGCTAGCAATGCTAACATGCTCTCAGTTGGCAGGTATATTGTTACCATGTTTGCTATCTTCATGTGCATGTGTGCTTTTTTCCAATTAGCAAGTGTTGGGTCATAAAAGTATTCATCAACTTAAAATCTGATCATAAAATCTTAGAATCAGATCAGTTTTTAAAATTCATCCTGACAACATCAATGTCTGTACCAAAATAGTTGCCAAAGTAGTGCACTGTGTGAGAACTATGCAAGCAGTGGATAAATAAGGAAAAACTTTGAACTGCCACAGAAGTAAAGTCACTCTTTGATTCATCGTCTGGGAACCATTAATGTCTAAGCAAAATGTGAAGACAATTTGTGCAACAGTTGTAATATTTTAAAGGTGAACCGACCAACAGGCCAACAGATCCATCCCTTAACCTAATAAGACTAAAAATCATCATAACGTTCCAGTTTCAATTTCAGAAACTTCAGTTTAAACTTATGACCGCCTTTCTTCACCTTCACAAGCAGAACAAACTGAACACAACACCTGACATATTATCACCTTCTACAGTGACAGCATCAGGATGAACCCTGTAACAGAAGGCAGGAACTAGTCGTGGGGTTCCTCAAGGGTCTGTTCTTGGTCCTTTATATTTTCAACTGAGGTGCAAATAAACTAAAACTAGCATAAATATAAAACTAGTTGGTTAGAACTGGATTAACTATATATATATATATATATTTATTTATTTGTCTGATTCCTGACGAAATGAATGAATGTAAAAATGTTGCTACCTACTTACTTTTCTGACTTATCTACTTTGCAGATGCTTCTCTGTCTGTCTCAGCTATGCCTCAAAAACTCCCCCCATAAAAGATTTAGCTCGACTATTACACCTGCTTGGAACCTCTTTGACACCTTCAATGTGATATGAAATTAAAATCAGTGTTTTGGAGTATGTAACCAAATACGCTTGAGTGTTGAATGAAGCTTTTTCCTCACCGGATGGCTGCCTCCACCTCATGCTTTGGGATGATTATGGAGGGAGTTGCTGGGTCGGTCACCACAAAGTAGAAGGCGATTCTTGGAGTGACCTCGGAGTTGACGACGTTTTCTGATCTGCAGGTGCAAACGGAAAAAAGCTCTCAAACAAATGTGATGATAAAAACAAATCTTTAGTCCCAGGATAATGCAGGATACTGACGTGAAATGAAGGGTCTGGTTCTTTTGGCTGTAGTACTGCCTCATAGCATAAGCAATGCTGGCCTTAAACAGGTACAGCTCGTTGTCATTCCAGGTATACTGCAACACATATTAGGTTAATATTACTTTCCATGATATCAGACAGACTGCAAGTGGCTTCATAGCTGCACAATCTATGCTATTTCAGGTGTAATTAACACTTCTAATAATCACTAGTAATACTCACAGCGTCATCGCCCATGGCTGCCTTCAAACTCAATCTCACTGTAATGGCGTTCGCTGAAACTGTAAAAAAACAAAACAAAAAAAACCCCAAAAAAACTATTTAATCAATACTTCTGTTTAATGAATTAAGAATCTTCTGTTAAACATGTTTTTCACTTTCAGTTCTCCATATTTCATCAGCTCAAACATGGCGCATGAGAGATTTGGCTGAACTTGAACCGTTTTGGGAGGATTAAAAACAATAAATTTAAAATTAGTGTCAGTCTGATGCAACTGTAACACCGTAAGCAGCGGTCACATGTGTTTTCTTCAGGAAAAAACACATTCTAGTAACTGATGTGGTGTGACCATGCAAAAATTTGTCATTAAAGAACACCAGTGTCTTGAGGCCATTTTCCTACTTCCTTAAAAATGCCCTTGGGGACTTTTTATTTTACTTCAGTGCTTCTTCATGAAGTGGCACAGCAAATGTTTACCAGAAGTAACATCAGCTATTTTTTTTGCTTTTTCTGTCACAGCTTTTACGTAACACTGAGAGAAGTGTCAACTCATATCATTTCTATGCCTCGAGGAAAATTTTTCAGTTTAGCTGTGCCTGATATGAACTTAAGCGGAAATACTCAATCCTGATGAATTTTTTGAGCAGGTAACAAAACAGGACACAAGGAAAGGGAGCAGTTTAGTATAAGAAGACTAATGCACATCTGCACATTAAGCAGGTATCTTAGTTTTGCATGAAAGCTGGAGGAAACAGCTAGCTGTAGAAAGAAGGATCCAACTGCAGAGCACAAGCTCGGCAGGAATGTTATTTTAAGTTTTAAAGTCATTGATTATACCACTTAAGACTCAAAGTCATCGAGCACACATTGCTCAAACAAACTGATTCTGAGGAAGAACAATACTATGGAAGCCTCCACCGCACAAGTTGACAGGATTAGTTCTTTAGATTTTTAAAATATAAAATCAATGGAAGTCTGAATCTATGTTTTCAGAACTATCATTGATCTGGGAACAGATTGGGGACAGATAAGTAGTACTGTGAGGTGATGGAATAAGGGGAAACGGGTGTGGTGGGTGTGGGAGTCAAGATTAAATGATTACAAAGTAGGAGACAGGTATTCGGTGAGTGTGGGGAGTCAAGTGACTTAGGCCCTGTTAACACATAGCAAAACCGGTGATATTTCAACGTGTTTGGGCCTTTGGTTTAGACGTAAACGAAGCTACAAGTCATCAAAAACAATCATATCTGGAGATTTGGAAAAACTCCGTCTTTATGTTTGCATGTAGACAGGAGGAGACAGAGTTTGACGTCACAGTGTGCGACAAAAGCGTCATCAGCGTCATATGTGTGCGACACATGTTTACAGTTTGGCTACTGTGATAGAAATGGATGTTGTTAAAGCAGTGCTTGTTTTTACGTTTGTGCAAATGTTTCACTTCTCTGTCGGTCCAAACAAACGACCCTCGTGCCATTATCGTTGAAGTAACAGGAGGTAATTTGTGCCATTCGTTGTTGTGTTTTTTCCAGGAATCTGATTGGCTAGCATGGCTTTATGGTTCTCGTTACACTGCCCCCTATAGGTTTGGTGCGCTCATAGCAGCTTTTGCAGGTTTGCATAAACAAAGATTTTTTGAAAACAATGAAACACCCAGCTATGTGTAGACGTGGCCTTAGACAGGAAAGAGAGTCCAAGGACGTGGTAGAAACAGAGAGTGACAGAAGATGGGTCCAACAACAAAAACATAGAAGGCTGAGAGAGGAACCACAACACAAAAGACTCTCCTTTGTGTAATCAATACAGTTCAGTTCAGCCATTTCCCCCGTTTCCAGACGTTGAGGTAAGGTAAGCTAACAAGCTAAGCTATTATTTTGGGAGAAGTGCTTGTAGTTTTTGTGAGAGTAGTCGTCAGGTTCTTTTGTACTCACATGGATCTATGTCTGTCCTCCAGCCTACAATCCTGTTGTGTTTCTGGTTCTCCACCTTCAACCAGTCATGAAGTTTTTGGAAATAGTCCAACAGGGGGCGAGCATTCATCTTCACATCACCAGATATCGTCTGCAAGGCCCTGGTCCAGGACTGAGACCTTCCCAGCTCTAACATATTTCTGGCAGGAAACAATGATAATGATGTTGATGACCACAAAAATGTAATATAATGTGGAGTTGCAAAATGGAAATTAGACATTATTTCCACTATCCAGAAAATAGAAATACAAAATGTATAGATCTATCATTAGGGGCAGCCAAAACAAGTAAACAAGCCTTCAAGGCGGAACTTGACATTTTTCATACCTCAGCTTGGTTCCTGCTGCAGTAGAATTGGTAATGTCACATGACGACAAGGCGCCTGTGTGACCGGCGGCATCGCAGAGAGCTTTTTGGAACTGAAACTGGTAGATGGTTCTGGTGAAGTATCTGTATTCAAAACCAGCAGCAAACACACACACACACACACACACACACACACACACACACACACACACACACACACATCAGTGATGCTTCAAAGCAGAAATGGGAAAGACTGTTTTAAACCTGGATCCTATTCATATCATTATTATCAAATTTGAAGCCAAAGGTGTGTGATTCTTGTTTTCAGCCATATGTAGCCAAAAAGCACAAGAAAATATAATCTCAAACAGAGTATGTCTTTTCACTGTAAACACACTGGTTGTTTACATTGTAACGTGAAAACCAGTCTAAAGGCTTTATTTATGCAGTTTTGACGCTGTATTGAAGCATCTGCCCTCCAACTTTGGTTTTTCTGTACAATATGAACGACAAAATGAGTATATTTAAAGAATATGTTAGGTGTCCATGGGGGTTTACAGATAAACAATGGTTACGTTTTACTGCAATTAAATGTTTGCAACTAACAATGAAAGTAATACTTCCTTGTTCCTGTAGCTTTCCACTAAATTTCAATGACATTTGAAGTGAACTGAGTGAACACAGCTGAAAACAGAACTCTTGGTGACGCAGATTTTAAGTAAATCGAGCATCAAAGTTATGCTTTCATTTCCTTAAAGTACAGCGTCACAGCAGGACTGTTACCTGATGAAAGAATAGTCTCCGGACACATGGAACAGAGCAGGGGGGTCACAGTAGCTCTCATCTCTTGGCACTGGCTCCACCACCCCGACCAGCTCCCTCCTGTTAAAATAATACAGAATCAACACGAATACAGGCTGAACAACATTAAATACCTCTACATTTGTCCAATTTTAATGTCATGAGCACATTTAAATGCAGTGATCCTCGAAGTCAACTGGTATTTACAGAATTCACAAGAGAATTTCTACAATTTGCTCAAACTAACGGCATTATTTACAGATGTGTCGTGTAGGGATCTGCTTACTTCATCTCCCACCAGCGTGCCATCCATTCATCTTTGGAGATGTTCCCTGCAAACACCTGCCACCTCCATTCCTCCAACATGTAGGTGAACGGCAATGTGCCCACAATTGTGAGCGCTTGTTTCAGCAGGAAGTTGATCTCGGTTTCTACAGGGCAAAAAAACACAACATAATTTATAATACAGAGAGCGAAAAGTTCAAGAAATTCATTCATTGGTTAAACACACTGAACACGTTGTTTTGTTCAGTTTGTCACCTGACTGCATGTCAGACACTGTAAATGAATTTATGACAGCTCGTAAAACAGTCAACAGAGAGCCCAAGGTCATGGTATCTTGATAACGTCTATGGTGCTGAAGCTGTGTTAAACTTACAGGCCATTTGAGGGCAGCATTACACAGGCAGCCGAGACACATTATAAAGTTTAACCTCCAGTAACTCGTGTTTTTGGCCACTTAGGGTCAGTGTAAACAAACACTCATATTATCTAAGCTTATATGGCAAATTTAGTTACTAGCTGCCTTTAGACACATTTAGGCATATGTTTAAAGTTGAGTTAATCATATTTAAATCCAATATTCAGTTTTAAAGCTTTTCATCAAAAACAGCTGCATCCTGCTGGAAATGATGCTAAAAACTTGGGGGCCACAAAACCAGAACGATTTGCTGAAAAAAGCTAGAAGTCTACATACAGGAACAGCAGGGTCAGGTTCATCACTGCTTCACATATCTATTGTTCATATTTAAATACTGATTTTAATCGCTTCACTGTTTTGTAGAACCAATACTTCTACATCAGTAGTACCCTCATCGTAAACGAAGTCGGCGGGCAGGAGATCGACGCTCTGCAGGTGTTTGGGTGTTGCAGCAGAGAGGGACATGATTTCTCCGACAGCCTCGTGGAAACCTTCGTTGGCTCCATCCCTCAGAAGGTAGGACAGATTACGGTAAGCCATCTGGTACTGGTTGTGGCCCATTTCATGGTGCACTGTGAGGAAGTGGTCCATGTGGACCAGAGTGCACATTTTGATCCTGTAGATGTCACAGGAGAAGCGATCATGTCAGCAGTTAGATTGCGTGATACAGTCATTTCACAACACTATATCAGATGCAGCGCACCAATAAACAGCATGTGCAATGACATGTTTCTGATAAGTCCAATGTAGCAAACACTAAAAGCCCAGGTTAGATAAAGTCAGTTAAATCTCTGTCTAAAGAGGTTTTCTTCAGTAATTCTATTGCAATGTGAGACTTGATATACTAGAGTCTGCATTTGCATAAACTGTATCACTATAAGCAATGCAGTCAGTGTTGGAACAGCTGTACTATTGGGTTACTATTTTACAACTAAAATTTGGATTATCTTTATCAGCAGGGAAAAATGACTCAGAGTCTAATCAGTATCACTGTTTCGCTAAGTTGATATTTAAGGCTCTCATAAATATGAAATGATCTACAGTTAACATCCTTTGATCAGCTCAGCACAAAAAAAAAATTTGCTGAAACATGTGTTTCAGCATGGCTGCACATGTATGCACACATGTGAACACGTGCATGTCTGCAGATTTGTCCTACCTAAAGTCGTTTCTGTTTCCCATGTCCCAGGCTGTGGGGTGACAGACCACCGAGCGTCCATCGGTAGGTTTCGTCAGCATGGAGTTGGTCCAGAAATTCTCAAACATCTCATACAGGCCCACAGACATGAAGAACTTCTCTGCTTCTTCAAACATCCTGTTCACAGTCCAGCCCTGAAATTCAAGGTGGCATTTGATAGATGATATCAGTTCTGGTCAAAGATTTTAATGTCTTTTCATCTCTTTATTACTGCATGCACTATATCGAAATATAATTTGTAATTGTTCATATACTGGTTTTGCTTTGATGTAAAAAGAGAGAACTGAACCATACCTTTGCCACCATGGTGTTGCTGACATCAATATCTGGTTTGTCAGGGTAGGGGACTGTCAGAGGGTACAGGTTGCTCCAGAATCTTCCCCACATGTCACCTGAAAAACCAAAGGAGTAAAAAGGACATTTCTCAGTAAGTGGGCAAAATATTTTCTTCCCACAGTGGACAGTAATCAGACATATGTTACAAACTGGTGTGTTAATTTAAACCCTTAACAAAAGGATGCACCCAATAGTTTAATCTAAAAGCCAAATATTACATCTGTTGCACTTCTTTTCATTTGCAACACAGTGGTAGTGATGAAACCTGGACAACAGAGGGAGACAAACTTCAGTTCTGAACTAAAAACTTAAATAAGCATTCACATCTTTTTGCTCCCTCTGTTGTATTTATTATATCCACATACATCTACTCTGAGATCCTTCTGATAGGTGGGTATGCATAAACATTGCGCAACCTACGTAACACGAGACAAACACTGCATCCAGCAGAGGACAGGGCAGGAGGGTATTACGGTGCAAAGATTGTTGTTTAGGTGTGGTGTGTTAGACAAGGATAAGTACATTACGCGTATGTATCTGATGGAAATTTACTTTGCAGTTCATAAAATGTTGCTATGACTAAGACTTTCTGCCACCTGATGAGGTGAAGCCCTCACCCCCAACCCGAAATAGACCACCGTCCCAGCCACCACCCCAAAGAGAGTAACTGAGCATTTAAATTACACGATGAGAGAACAAGAAACATAACAGCAGACACACACTAAGGTCCAGATGATTATGGCCCTGGATGACTATTGGATGGTATTCAGCATTTTTCCAAATATGACTGTTGTATTTTTCTTTCTTTTTCACTGATTTTCTGTAAAATACATTAATTTAAAATGTGCCAGTGGTCCAGAGTAATCTCTTACCTACAGCACTCTCTGATTGGCTATGCGTCCTGACTAAAAGCCAATCAACAGTAAAGGATATACAGTAAAGTTTCTTTTAATAAAGTATAAACAAACAAACAAACAAGGGCATTTTAACAAAGTTTTGTGTTAGAGTTCATGTTATTCAAAGGTTTTTAGATTTACTGGAAATGTACATCAGTTTCAAATATTGGTCATCGGCCTCCTTGATTACTAAAAATTGGTGTCAGAATCAAACCTGAAAAAACCTGACAAACGGGGGAAAACAAGGATAACAAAAGAGAAAAATATAAAAGGACAGTATTATATTTATAAAAGTATTAATGCTAATAATAACAAGAATGAAATACATTGTGGCATAAAAAGCACGATATAAAGAAATAAAAATGGGAAAGGATACAATTAACTATTTATTCTCAGTAAATTCTAATGAAATAGGATTATTCTTGCCCTGTTCTCCTTTGTGTTATGTCCTTGTCTAACTTGCTCCTTTAGACTTTGAAGTTATTTTTGTTCTGTGGATGTTAATCATAGTGGAATGAATTGAAGAACTTTATTGTGAGGTGTAACTCTTGAATCTTCCACGATAATAAGCTCGTCAGGCTGTTGACTGTGACGTTTTCTTCCAACTATGATTCTTTTGATGGCAAAATAAAAGACAAAACACAGGACTTCTGCGATTTCTGAACTAAATCCTCCACGTACCGAGCAGGTGGGCCGGCAGAGGTCCTTGTGCATCAATGTGTCCTGGGTAGACATCGATGAGCTTGGCTCTCACATAGGCGTGTAGATCCTTGTATAAAGGCATAATCTGTGGGAAAAAAACAAACAAAACATACCTGCTGTTAATTACTTTGCACAATCAATAACAAACCATATAACCTCTTTCTCATTAATGTGGATGCACTGAAGCATGAGCCACATGTAACGGAGCCAAATCCACCAACAAGGACGCACCTCATTGTATATTGAACGGACATCATCCATTAGCTGATCTCCGTTGTACTTGTACAGAATCTCATCCTCGATGGTCTCATAGTTGTATCTCCAGTAAGCTCCGTAATCTTTGAAACCTGTGCATTTAAGTGTGTATAAGAGAGAAGTAGATCAAGCAGAAAAAAAAGAACGAAAGGTGTTATTTTCTGTAGTTTTTTGAGAATTAATTAATACAGACACCCTTTTGCACAATGATTTAAGCCATGACACTAGTGTTGCATGCATTTTGATAGCAGTGAACATAACTTTAGGCCTCAGTGGCGACAAACCAGCAGAGGTTCTTGGGAGGAGCCGTCATGTATATTCACACTGTCAGCTCTTTGTGTTCCTATCAGGCATGAGCTTCACCCATCTACAGTCTAGAGTATTAGTTTATACCCTTACGGTTCCTTGATAAGCTGTTTGTCTGTGTTCAGACCTTGACACTTGAGTTTCTTTTTCATTCACATGTTAAAAGTGTTTTCTTTGAATTCATCACCGTTGAGCTTGGCAGCTTCATTCTTCAGGTCCACGTAGTCTTCGTACAGAGGCCTCATCCTCTTGCCCACCTCTCTCCTCCAGCCCTCCCACACATGCAGACGCTCAGCGTAGTTTTGGCTGTTGGCCATTACGTCCTCCAGGCCTGTAAACAGAGAAAGACACGAGTCAGAGACGAAGCAGAGCCTGCACGGATCTCAGATAAATATTGTACTTTTTATCAAATCCAAAAACAATACTAAATAAAACAAGTATGATTGCAGTGGTGGAATGCTGTGGATCAAAGGACATTTACTCATGTTATGTACTTGTTCTACTTTATAATAATTTGTTTTTAAACTACTAAATTTCAGAGGGAAATGGTGTATCTTTTACTTTACAATAGATAAAGTATAAGCTACTTTTTGTTTTAAGATATAGTAAGTAAAATAATTGATCCGTTTGTGTATTTTTTAGAATCATCTGTATAATCTATATGTAACAATGTTAAAGCTTTTATTCATAATTGACATTCTTGATACCTTTAGTACATTGTGCTACTAATACTTCTGTACTTTTACATACTTACTTTTTCTACCACTGTATGGCAGGGGTGTATGAATACTGTATCACCAGGTAGATGTCTCAACATGTACCAAAAGTAAAAGTACTCGTTTTACATAAATACGGCCTATGACCAATGTGTTTCTAAATATGAACTTATCACATTGCTAATATTGATAAAAGAATGTGTTAGCAGCATTTTACTGTTGTACCTGGTCAATGTAATGCTAGCTACTTGATTACTTTATACAGTCAGGTTGTTAAATCCAATGTCTTGATTTGGCAAAATATTGGATGATTTTACATCGACCATGTGAGATGTTTAAAACGGGAAAATCTTTTTGTGGAAAGGCTAGCAGCTTAAATCTGTGGCAAGTGGATCCAACCACACAGTTTGAAAAGGCTGGGAACTACACTGCTGTTGTAAAAAGTATAATATTTTGCTCTTAAATTTAGCGGAGTAGAAGCCTATGAAGCACAAAACTGAACTATGCAGGTAAAGTTCAAGGACTTAAAAATTGTATTTAAGTAAATATTCTTTGTTACTTTCCACCACTGGAGATACGAAGGCGTGATCTTGTATTTGAACCTGTTTTTTTGTCAGAGTAACAAAATAGAGAACTAAACTTGTAGGTTAATGAATCTTTGTTCCAGAACTTCATTAAACGTAATTTTCCTCTCCAGACTGACTGTTAATTATAAACTGCATTATCTGACTTTGGCTGACAGGTGGACAGGTTACAATAACTGCTACTTAATAAGTGTGTAAGACTGTACCTGGTTCCAAAGTCTGGCAGTTCAAGGGGTCGTCCTTCAGACACACCGTGGCTGTGCTGTAGATTGTATTCATCTCGCTCATAATCTTACTCAGCTGTAAGTACATTTTAAAGGAAACACAAGGATGAAATATTCAGTTTAATGTGAATCGTTATGGAACACTGACGACATAATTATCTCAATAGGAAGGATGTTGTTTTGTTTTTTTTAAAACAAGGGACACATTTTTAGATTATGTAATACATTGAAAAATGACTTGTCTTACATGAGCAGCTTTATCTGCGGACAGAGCACCGGAGCCTTTGTCTTGAAGGGATATAAGCTGTAACTTGATTTCTGGGTCCTTGATCTGGTCCACATTGAATCTTTGGGACTCTTCTGACATCTTAGAGTAGAACTCCCCCCATACTTGCCCCTCTGCTGACTGTGTAGAATGACACATAAGAATTATATACATCAGCAACTTGCATCCAAACTCTTAATATGATCAATATTTTTTGGGCAAATGTTTGATCAACACTTACCAGTTTGTCTGAGTTCTCCTTTGTGATGTTGGTGTTGTAGGCCCATGATGCCAGGGAGTACTGGTACATACGTGCAGTGGCGTCTATGTCAAATTTCTGCAGGAACTCCCTTGCCTGGCTCTCCATGTCCGACTGAGCAGTAACAGCACAGGACACAGCCAGCAGCGTTACAAGAATCCTAGCAGACATCTTGGCTGCTTCAGCTTCATCCACAAGCACAAACTAACTCTGATGAAGGAGGGACACTGTACTCTGTTATACAGTTTCAATAACCTTCTGTGCTGCCTTGGCCTTTGGACAGTAGAGCCATAACTGAGGGTGTTTACAGATAGGATGTTTCAGAGGAACAGGGAACGTCAGTGGGCTGTCTTCACATCGGAGGGAGTCTGTGTTATACTTTGATATATTATCAGTCGCAAAATAGACACATTATCTCTTTTGTAACATGTACTGTCAGTTATATTTGCATGTAGTGAGTTCTTTGGATAAGGTCTCTTTCTGTTGGCTGTCGGCCAGTGGACACAAACAATCCAAAACTTTTTGTGTAAAATGAAAGGCCTGCTGAACAAGTGGGCAGGATGATTGATGTTTAAATTACAATAAATACAATGTGAATCAAGTGTAATTTCAAACAACAGTGCTTTACTAAAAAACCTGCACCTTACAGTCATCGAAAGGCTCCAAAATACATAAGTAATGAGCAAATTATGGAAGAAATTGCTTCCACTGACTGTTCCATTTTGGTGTTTGACATATGGCTAAACTTATGGAAATTGCTCTAATTATTAGATTTTGACAATCTGTTCTGTTTGTTATCCTATTTCTTTGTTTCAATTCTTGTTTTAGTACACACAAAGTTATAATTGTCACCGTTATTAACAAAACAAGGAAAATATAATCTGAACACCAAAAGCACAAAGAAATACAAATTTTGTTCATGTGCTCCTTGTTTGTTCTGCAGACTTTATCTGTCATTTCTTAAAGAAACGCAGCAATCTGAGGTGAAAATGTCAAGAAAACAGGAAACAATAGCTTTAGATGAGTGTGCAACCTCCTTATCTGGTGGTGGCGTATTTCCCAGCACGGATAAAATGCAAACCGTGCACTGTTGGGTCCTAAACGCTGATAAGAAATCAACTGCAAAGGTTTATTATTTACATTTATTACCAACACCAACAGATCGATAGATAATAGAATATTAGTCACCTGCTTCTTCTGCTCTAAACGAATCAATAATTCACTAAAAACCCACAAAAGCAAAAAACAAAACATTGAACTGAATTATAAGTATTTGCATCCACAGCAGCAAACATAAAATCACTCCAAGAAATCTCTCTGTTCTCTGCACTGACTGAGGCTGACAATCATCATGGAGAGATGACAGCTTGTTTTCATATTTTATCTCTTCATTTATTTGTGTTTTAGCAGTTCCACAATTCTCACTGAACCTGTTTCTATCAGAGCAGCACATGCACTTAAAATGAAGTGCACAAGTTTTACATTCCTGGTAACGTGAACTTGATACAACAGCACCTTCCTATGGAAACTGTTGGTATCACCATGCTCATTAAAAGAAGTTTACATTTCCCCCCCAAGTCTGTCTTACCTTTAACTATTACTTACATGCCTATTTGAAAATTAAAAGCTTTCTTGGCAGTTCCTCCTGTCCATACTAGCAATGAAGAGATCAATTTTCTGTGATTCCAACGTAGGTTACAAAATCCACAGTTTTTGTTCTGGGTAGAAATGCTATACTAAAAGGTCAGCCAGGACCAAATCTCAACAGTTCGTCTGATATAACCACAGATGGATGCTGGATTTTTTCTTCTTCTATAAATCAGAAAACATCTAAATAAATCAAAAAATATACAATCACAGTTTAAATCAAAATGTCAGGACAAACAAATTGCTGCTTCATTAATGCGTCGTCTGTTCTGGCATTTCCACTGTCTTCAAAGTATTAAACATTGTAATCTGCTTCAAAAAAAGCCACGATACAATCCTATCCATGAAATATTAACCAAATAATGCACGAGGTTACGAAGTCCATTCTTTAACTCACATTGATTCTCTTTTGTTTCACAGGCTGCGGTTAAATCATTTACTGGCAATATTCTAGCAAAATGACAGGCTGTGCAGAGCTGAGTCAGCTGTCTGCATTTCAGGTAAGCTACATAGTTTGTGAAGAAAATGTTATTCAGGTATTTAAACTTGTGTTTTAACTTATATTGTCATCAATGTAGGAAAGTAATCTATCTGTGACAAGTATGGACAAGAGGAATAGAAGTCAGACAAAAGTAAGTGTAAATGCCCAGGACTAAAAAAACAAACAAACACACAAACAAAATAATAATAATTAAAGCCACAAGCGGCGATGGACATTCACACCTACGGACAATTTAGAATCGCCAATTACCCTCAACATGTTTTTGGACCTTGTGGGAGGAAGCTGGAGAACCCGGAGAGAACCCACGCTGTGTGGGGAGAACATGCAAACTCCACGCAGAAAGATCCCAGGTGTCCTCACCGGGATGCGAACTGGCGACCCTCTTGCTGCGAGGCACCGATGCTAACCACCGAGCCACCTTGCAGCCTGTTTTGTTTTTTTATTGTCAGATTTTTTCAGATTTAGTTGTTAATCTGGCGGCAACCAAGTGTGTCTGCTTGATGTCTGAACAAACACCCCGGTCACTTGTCCATAAGAGTCAGCCCAGCAATCTTACCACATCACACCTTGTTACATTTCCATATTACTTTCAAAACAGCACAAGTCTGAATGAAGTGTCACATTAACAGATAGACACATGCAAGAAACACTACTTTGAGTTGTGTGAAGTGATGTCGGGAAGGATTGTTCCACATTTCAGTGTTAATACTCATTTAAAAATGTTACAGAGAGCAAAAGACACAGTTTGTGTGCCTGAATCACAACAACACCTTTCTCAGTCAGTTTGCTTGACAGTTTCAAATCTATTCGGCTACAAAACGAAATGTTCATAATATTAAAACTTTACACAACAAAAACAAACACTAACTGCCTTGATTAATGATACTTACCAATAATGAACATAATCCAAGTTTTTCTCCACAAGACAAGAGCTGTGGTTTGTTGCTTCCAGCTGTTTAGGACTCTTTCCTTTGAGGTTATTAAATACCTGCAGCATCAGACAGCAGCAGGATCCACAAACGTCTCAGAGGAGAGAGAGAGTTGAACACATTTGTGCAAGTGGACGATACATGTCTTCACATCAGACACACAGAATCACACTTTAGTTTGTTGCTTCCAGCTGTTTGGGACTATTTCCTCTGAGTTTAGCAAATATCTGCAGCATCGGATAGCAGCAGGATCTACAAACATCTACACACATTTACTTTGTTACCGTTATCATTTGTACTTAGTTATAATTATTCCAGACATGGAGACAGGATCGATCAGGATCTAGCAGCAGGTCAAGCTGTGGACGCTTGTTTATCTCAGACAGATGTAATGTCACAGAGTCAGTTTATCAGCTACAGTTGAACATTTTGTTACATCACATTGTTCTCAGGTTGAATCCTGAACTATTATTTTCACTGTTTTAGAAATCAGAACTAAACTTGGCTGTTAGTTATTTGAAAACTTGGATCAGCTGCTGTTTGTTCAGGTTTAGTCTCTTCTTTCATTAACAGATTAATGAGGCAGCAATGTTTCATATCTCATGTCTGAAAACGGCTTTTTACAGGTTTATGGACCGGGACCTGATCTGGAACTTCATGGAACTTTTACAGTTTCACTATCAAAGACTCCCTCCAGTGAAGATCCAAGTTTTTACCTTGTTAACATGTTTCTTTTGGTGTTGTTTATATGTTGGAGTGAAAATAAGCAGCCAACACCTTAACCAACTGCAGATGATGGTCTCAAAAACCCAGATTTAGACTTTGGGAGGAAGAAACCTAAGAATCCAGTTCGACCTCTCTGCGTATGCTGCTCCAAGGTTTAACAGACATGAGACGTACGAGGCCGACCCTGTCGCAGTCTGGCACCTGGACGGATACAGATTATCACCTCCAAGTTCCTCCAGGAGCATTCAGCTTAGCAGTGAGCTGTTCTAAGGTGAGACAAGGCTGCTGGTCAGTACAGTAACTTGGTGCTGACGCTGTGCAGAACTTTTCCTGTGCTCTGTTTGCTGTCCGCTCTCTTCACAGACTGTCAGGATCTGTTGAAGATGTGTCCAGCTCTAAACACTGAGGAGTGGGTCACCCTGGAGAAGATGCAGCTCAGTGAACCTCTAAAACATTTCTCATCACTCTTTGACCTGGACAAGGAACTCAATAAATCTTCCATGACTTGAAAACAACATCAGTATTTTAACTTAGCTTGAACTATAGAGCCAATTAGCTGAGGTTAGCACAAGACCTCTGGTTCTATTTAAATGTAGCACATAGGCCTTGGGCAGGAGGAACAATATAGGCTTTATAATAACTGTAAAGACTCTACAAATGCATTTTACTGCAAAAAAA